GAAATTGTTTGATCGATACTTTACGAGAAATCTATCAGTGCAGCCATCTACCGAAAAAATAATGGATTTCTTTTTCCGCAAACTAATATTTTAATGAAATTCGTACACTGATGTGTTTTGGACTAAGAATGCTATTAAAAGAGGATTCAATTGAACCATTCGCCCGCATCTCTTGTTCTTCTTATGGTTTTAGACGAAAATTTGCAGTAAATAGTATTTTGAAAAGGTCTACGAAAATTAATTCTTGATCCTAATTTAATATAAAAATGAATTGTATTACATGTGGGTCAGATAAAACCATACATTAAGGCCTACCCTATATGAGGGTTCCTGTACAAGGCGTAGCTATTAAATATAATTTTTGACACTTCATGATAAAAGTAGGTAGAAAATAATATGCTCTTTGACAACAAAATTAGTTTTGTTACATCTGGCTCTTGTCAATTCGCGTTGCTGGTCTACATCGGAACGTATAACAACAGACAACAAATGTCTATGAAAATTGACAAAAACCAATCGAAATGTGTCTGAGAACGACCAAAATCCAAAAATTCTGTTCGCATAATTTTGTTTTCTTCTTTGTTTACATTCAAAACGTTTGTATGAAATTTACAATACAAGCTCACACCAACATCAGAAAAAAAGAAAGAGCAATTAACTTATTCACATATTAAAAAATATGTACATATGTATATATACTCCTATATAGATTTTAAATATTTTTAGAAAATGTTCAGAAAATATATCAACTGAGAGGTCGAATCTCCGCTACTGGTAATAGGTGCAAAAATTATGGGAACAATCAAAACCTATTCCTGCGTACAAACAGGTAAGTTTGTCATGTGTTAGGTGTTGTTATGCACACTTCGAAGAAAATATTAGATTTCTAAGTAGAACCATTAAAGCAAAGGTAGAGGAACTGTATTACTTAATTTGTCTCGGGAAACTTTGTTTACGTCATCATAATTTCAAAATAAATGGAAATAAATAAATAAATCAGTTAAAAAAAATTGGCCTTTCCACTAGAACTACCGAAATTTTGTACCTATTTCCAAGGTTTTGTTGGTAGTTTTAATACATCATTTTCGTGATACGTGAAATTTTTCACAAGCATGACTTTTCCGATCCTGAAAATTAGAAAATGTTAAGAAAAACTGATTATAGTATTTAAACGTCCGTTTATATTAACAAAAGTCATTAAAATATCTTTGAAATTTATAACCATTTTCAAATCAGAATTTCAAATACTTCATATTAACCCATGCTTTAACATTTTTACACTGTTAAATATTTGTTTTTGTACTAGTAAAGGGAACATAAACGGAAACATATGATGACATGGTAAATTTACATAGAATGATTGAAATTTTCTTATTCGAATTAAAACTGTTTATTAATTGATTATCAATTACTACTATTTGCTGGCTTCTATTAATTACCATGTGTTTTAATTTTTATAAAAATCTCAATGTACCCGAATGTGTATTGTTGCCACATTTGCGTACCCGGTACGCAAAGATTTTGTTGATGGCAAATACGCATTTCTGGCATACAACAGACAACTGATAACAGTTAGCCACTATGATGGCGACGATGCTCAACAATCTGAAATTGACCGATGCTTGTATTGACCGTTCTAGTTGGCATGTTTCATATACCTTGTTGGGCGCTTTCAGATGCTATACATGCTTGACCGACTTGTAGCCTGAGTCAACCTAACAGCCCACCTATCCGTCCATCTGTTGTTTTAATGTCCAAATTTGGAAATAGAGAGCTGAAAATGAGCTTACTATTAGTTGATGAGCGGGACATATAACACATGTGTCCGCAAGAGACAAGATGGGCTTAAAAGCCCGATTTCCATGCGGTATATCAAAGGTTGAACAGGTGTTAGGTTTTCTTTGGATGGTGAAGGCAACTCCTTTCATCGTCCAATTTTGCACGTGCGCAATAAATCGTTTCTCATATACATATTATTTCATAAAGCTTTGGCAACAAATATTGAAAATAGTAAACTGTATGTTATTAAAACATTATATCTCTCCGTAACCGCCATCATAATTATTTAGGAAATCTTCTTCCTTCTTGGTTGAAACTAGTGATAAGTGTTAAAGAAGTCAAGTTGTAAATAATTTACTCCGTTGTTTTCAGCTTTGCTTTGAACGTTTTATTTTTCAATGCAATTTTTTTAAGCGTAGAAGCGCCTATTCGACAATACTGATGCAGGCTTTAAAGTTCTTACGTATCTGGGGTCACGAAAGGTAGGCGAAGTGTATCACTTAACAGTAATGCCTTTACTCCATAGCTCTATACTGAAGTTGAACATATTTGAAAATATATATTTTCTTGATAGACGAAAAGCATTTACTTTTATTATTTTCTTTCAACATTTTTATCAATTCAAGAGCCGATAGCCTGTGTTGCTAGTGCTCAATGTCTTTTTTTTAGTCTAAGAATTCAATTCATTAGTCTAAAATTAAAATAATAATAATAATATCAATTCAAACGCTTTAGACGGATTTGAACAGAGTGTAAAAGAAACATTGACCGATTTATTTCGTCTATCCCGAGATATTGAGGCAGTTAAAAAAAAAGATTCAACTGTTGAATCATATCCAAACATCGAACCGATATTAATGCAAATAACAAAACTAGATTCAGTTTTATCAGTTCAAGTGCTTCGAGAGCATTGCCGACATTGATCGCACAGGTGCAACTATATTGGGCGCTGTGGTGTACGGTATTTAATGCTCGGTCTTTCTAAGGTCCCCAGAGGACACCTGAACAAAAAATCTTTAAAAATCGAATCTACATTTACACAGACTAAAGAATATATGCTTTGAGTAAAAATGATACACCATAAATTATACATTCCTTTTAGGTAAAACAACTTTTTATAAAAGCCTTCATATTGAAACAAACTAAACGTACTTGTCAAAGATTTTATGGTTTGTCAGCTGGGTTTCCTTTAAATTAGACTTTGTCGTCATAGAAAAGTTTCGTTTTTATTGGAGTCCCTGTATGTGATGAGATCCTAATCACCTACGGTTAATTCACTATGAAATCATTTGCATCATAAAATATAAAAAGCGAATTTAATATATCTTCACAATACTTGTACGTGATGATGTCCAAAAGATAGACCAACTTGATCGAAATATGATACAGTTAAGTTTTATATGAAACTACTCCTACGAACTAGTTTTCATCATTAAATATCAAAAATTGGACATTTTTGCCATAAAGTCTTATTTTTCATTAGAACCCTATGTGTGGTGGGACCGAAAAAATAGCCCTACGGTGCCCAAATTATTATTAATTTTTGTATCAATTTATTATTATGAACCAATTTTCACTAAGAAATATTGAAAATTAGAGCCTTTTACTATATAAAGATTCAGTTTTCATATAAACTTTCATAGAACTTGTTATATGGCATATATTTTTCACATCAATTCAGAATGGGAAAATACTATAACCCAGTGACTTTTGTCGCAAAATTCTAAACAGACTAAGGAAACGAAAGAGCTCAATTTCGATACTTTATAAATTAGCTGAACTTGACAGACTTTTTCAATTTTATAGAGCACCACAGTGAAAGTTGTAATCGGGCATATGCTGCAGTTTATGACAAGAGAGCAGAAAGTCCAGAAAGCAGAGATGTTTTCAGCTTATGTTAGACGTAATCTTTGACTGAATTGTTTCGTCGAATCGACCTACGTGGAAGAATTTCCAACGTTTTTGCTATATTAGAAGTCGTTATTTTCATCTTTGAGACCGGGAACACCTTTACCATACACACAAAGTAAATAGGCAGACGGACATGTCTAAATAAAATCCGGATTCAACACTGATCGAGAATATGTATATATCTGAATGTTGCAAAGCTTCGGTGAAGGGTAACGTGCATGTATACAACAATTAACTCGGGACAATGTGATGTATACACAACATCTAAATATAAGACAGGAATTAAATATATTAGTATTTGATCTCGCAGCGTATTTGATAACACGCTATTATGAGGCTCTATTTAAGAAAAAGTCGTTACATGGAAAAATATGGAATATGAATGAAAAATAATAGTTTGACACATCAGTGGAGAGTGAAAAATTGAATCACCATTATTGAACCTTTCCCATATAAAATGTTTTTACAAAAATTAAATTTGTATTTGGCAATAATTATGCAAAGCAGTGTAGGTGGTCTTGAGTGATTATAACGTTTTGACATCTCAAATTTGAACTCTTTTGAGGTTTAGTAGACGGATTTGAAACTAAATATAAAATGTGTATTGCGTCGTCAATGACGAAATTTATAGATTGTAGATTAAATGATATACAACAACTTTATCCAAATTGTACAATAATTTCATCCTTGACAACCCAATACATAAAAATTTTTGATTCGCAGTTCTAGAGATCTTAGAGTATATTTATCCTTTGATGATATTTCCGACAGCATAATTAGTAGATATACAAAATGGTAGAAAGGTAAGATGCATCAAAACAAACGAGCTAATCTTTGAGAACAAAAAAAACACGACAAAAGGAGCGTTATCATCGTCATCATCAGCTATTTTATTACGTTTTAACGTAGTCAGTATAAACTGAGTTCAGCAAAAACATGATTTTCAACAGGTGCGTCCATTACAGCTAATCAAGTTTCCATATAATATCTTTTTCACTGCAGAGTCTGCATATGAGAAATGTGCTGGAAAACTTGTCCATATATAAATAGTCAGTTCAACGTATTTCACTGTCCGTCTATCTCTCTTATGCTTATTCTTTTTTTTTCGCAGTCTCTCAACTAAAGTTTCTAGTTTCTAATAAGGTAAACTAAACTGCGATATGAGCAAAATGACACATGCATAAGCACAACAGTCTTGTTTTCTTTCCTTTATAATATTCTTGTGTCTGATATATGTACATATATAAACTTCTATTTTTTCTTTTTACTTAATATATTTGTTTAACTTGCATTTTGTATTTATATTAAAGTTTCTTATTTTTTCTACTTCTCCCCCTTTTTTTCTCTTTTTTCCGTTTATTTCAGTTCAGTTTGTTCTATTTTATCACATTATGCTGTTAGCGTATGTATAGTTGCTTTGACGTCTGTAGTAGCAGCCGTTGTCTGCCAATGTCATTTGAGTCCAGTTTTATCGCCTTTCAAGATTATTGACACTTGGAGTTTTATTTCATTTCATGCATGCATTCTTTTATTATTATTATTATTTGTTATTGTTAATGCTATTGCTGTAGTTACTGATTGTTGTCTTTGGCTTATACTTTCCACACCCACCGATATTGTGTGTGGTAAATATATAAATATTTATTTTATAACTGGTGGTAAAAGTTGTTTCTTTAATACTTCATATGCAATTTAAAATATATTGCAATTCGCATTTTACAAAGTGGCTCACGTTCATCACTGTACAGCTTCACCGGTAGTTCCGTTCATTCCATCACAAAATCGACTGCTTTATTAGCATCCTCAAAATTGGAAACTTAGGAAGAACGCAATACATCCCCCACTACAAGTCCACCAACAGCAGAACCTAATCCAACGCAAGTACGAACATCCGAAGACGGAAGCGGCTTCATGTTGATTAGTTCGTTTCCGATCCACTTAGTTCTACTCGATTATCGAATGCGACTAATCTACCCAAATTATGTAAAACAGATGATCCCCAAAAGTCTAAAAACCAACAAGAACGAATCGATGACGACAACGCTGTGCTTAAAGCTAATGTGTTAGAATTGCCATAGAACTCTTTATAGAATAGGTTAAACCCCTCTTAGAATTCCCAACAGAAAATTTATCGCAGCG